CTTAGTCTCTACAAAAAAAAAAAAAAAAATTAGCCAGCCAGTGCAGTGGCTCAAGTCTGTAATCCCAGCACTTTGGGAGACAGAGGCAGAAGGACTGCTTGAGCCACAGCTACTGAGCATGCTGAGGAGGAAGGATCACCTGAGCCCACGAGGTGTAGGGTGCATGTATGATCATGCCACTGCACTACTCCTGGGTGACAGAGTGAGACCCCAACTCAAAAAAAAAAAACTAGTCTGGTATGATGGCGCAGTCCTGTAGTCTGAGCTACGCCGGAGGTTGAGGCAGAAGAATTGCTTGAGCCCAGGAGGTTGAGACTGCGGTGAGCCGTGATTGTGCCATCACACTTCAGCCTGGGTGGCAGAGTAAGACCCTGCCCTGGGCGGTGGCTCACACCTGTAATTCCAGCACTTTGGGTGGCTGAGGCAAGAAGATTGCCTGAGCCCAGGGTGCAAGACCAGTCTGGGCAACTTGGCAAGACCGCGTCTCTACAACAAATAAAAAAATTAGCCAGGCCTGTAGTTCCAGCTACTTGGAAGGCTGAGGTGGAAGAATTGCCTGAGCCCAGCAGATTGAGGCTGCAGTGGCCGTGAACATGCCCCTGCACTCCAACCTGGGCAATAGTGAGATTCTGACTCAAAAACAAAACAAAAAGAGTAAGACTCTAATTCAAAAAAAGAAAAATAAAGAAAAAAAATTAACACGAAGCAAAGAAAGCCTTGACTTGAGACAACTACAAAAGCTAAGATCCAAGATTCAGAAGGAAAAAGCAAGGTTAGGATCAAGAGATGGACTTCAAGGCAGACTGAGAAAAGGGACATTCATGTGGCTGATATCAAAACAATTTTTTTTTTGCATTCTCAAGATAAAAAGCAGCTCCTGTGACTTCTAAGAGGGGCACTGTGCATGAAACTAGAACCTCAGCCTGCAAGGCCTTAGGTAAAGCTGAAAACGAGTAACCTAAGTTTGACTGGGAAAGCTGCTGAGCCAAGATGCCCTAGTATTTAGATGCTAAGAGGCAGAGGTCTGAATTTGACTCCTCCAGGCTCAAATGGTTCTATACAAACTGGGGCAAGCCCAAGAAAAGAACTGGTTCACCAGAGAGGGTGTATTCATTTAACGGGCGGCTTTAGCCTTTTTCATCAAAACAAACAATAGGCCACACGAATGAAATGCAACATTTCTCACTTCTAAGACAAAATAAGGAACTTCCATTAAAGGCGGGCCATACGCTTAGGAATTCACCTCCACCGTTAGGGTTTGTTTTTTTTCCCAGGGGAAGTTTGAGAAATCCGGATTCTAATTTCAGCCGAATGGTCAGTTCCTCGAACTTCAAGAACTAAAAGAAGAGGGACTGCAGCTAAGGAAGGATCTCGGGGCGCTCCACGCCAGCCGGCGGCGGTTAACAAGCGCAGTCCTGAAGGCAATTCCGGAGCGCAGAATAGACGCCCGCCGGGTACGGCGTCGAGTCCCGGCGGTTCCCGAGGTGCCAAGCGGCGAGTGGCCTCGAGTCCGGCTCTCCAGCGCCCCCTGTGGCCGGGAGGAGGGAGCGCCGCCCAGGAGAGATGAAGAGGGGCGACCCCTAGCGTGTACTTCCCAGGGGACACTCTCTAGGGTTCCCCTACGCGAAGTTTTGCCTATTAATTTTGTTTCTCTCCGCAATCTGTGCCACCTACAGGATAGGAGTCCCGGTGTTCCCTCCGCAGGTTCGTTCGTTGTAAAACGGTGTGTCAGTGGAGTGGCCCCTTTAATTGCGTCACCAGCGCCGGAGTGGCATCGCCCCTTTAAGGCCGGTGGCAGCCACGGCTCCGGGGGCGGGGTCCGTCTTCTGCCGGACCGGGACTGGCGCGGGGCTGATTCATTCGGGGCTGGGACACGGAGCGCTGACGTCGGCTTCTGCGCTGGGCGCAGCCTCGCTCCTGATTGGCCCGTCCCCGGGCCCGCCCTCCCCCACGCACCGCCCCCTGGGTTCCCTCCCGAGTCCGCAGTGGAAACACTGTCTTCTCCCTTCTTGACCCCTGGCCCTTCTTCCCTCGCTCCTTCCCTCCCTGGCCGTCGCTTCTGGTGCCGTCGCTCCCGGAGGAGCTCCCGGCACGGCGATGGGGTCTCGGGCCTCCACGTTACTGCGGGACGAAGAGCTCGAGGAGATCAAGAAGGAGACCGGCTGTGAGTTCGGACTGGGGGTGGGAAGGCGGCCGAGCGCCTCCGGCTGGCCTTACAACCCAGGGCGGCTGTTGGTAACGTCTGAAATCGGGGTGCCCGTTAGGCTGGGGGGGGGAGAGGGTCCTGGGCAGCCTCCAGGTTTGGGGACCGAGGGCTGGAGGACCCGTTCTTCCAGCTGCAGCTTCCCGCGGCGGGGCTTCGGCTCTTGTAGGGCCGTCCTTCCCCTCAAGGGCGGGAGTCTGGACCACCCATAGAGCGTCGACACCCCTGTTTTCTACCCCCTGCCCGCGAAAGTCCCCGAGTTCCTTTCCTTTAACTTTGCTCGCATCATCCTTCCCTATGACGAGGCATCCTGAACAGTAGGTAAAGCCCGATAAGTAAATTCAGGAACTCTGGGCGGATTCTGTAGAAAACAGTCAGTTTCTGGGCAAGGACCTAAAAGCATTGACAACTGTAAGAAATCACAAACAAGTTCTTGTCACAAACAGGGAAAACAAACCCAGAAAGAAAGACCATGCAGTAAGACTTTGGAAGAGGTGACCCACCCGGTGTCTAGAGACCTTTAAAAAATCAGGGGTCTGGGAGTGAGAGACGACTTTCAATCTGGGCTGGAGAAAAAGTACTGGGATATTGTGACTAATCCGCACTTGTGAGAAAAAAAAAACTGGAATATTGTGATCACTTGTCTTTTACTTATACTAAGGGTACTTGCTGTCCTAATTTCAAATATATGGATTCCTACTATGCTGGTGTACTTTATGTAGTTGCTATTGAATTTGGTTGTGCTCCAAAAATCTCAGTGTGGATTTGTACAAGGAACTGATTTTTCTTTCTTTTTTTTTTGAGTCGGAGTCTTACACGGTCACCTGGCTGGAGTGTAGTGGCACACTCATGGCCTCCCCAGTCTTGACCTGCTAGGCTCAGGGGATCCTTCCACCGCCTTCCAGGTAACTGGAACTACAAGCATGTGCCACCACACCCTGCTAATTTTTTGATTTATTGTACGGACGAGGTCTCACCAAGTTGCCCAGGCTGATCTCGAACCCCTGAACTCAGACAATCCTCTCACCTCCGCCTCCCAAAGTGCTGGGATTACAGGTGTGAGTCACCGTGCCTGGCTTCCATCTCCTTTCTTTCTTTCTTTCTTTTTTTTTGAGTTGGAGTCTCACCCTGTCACCCAGGCTGGAGTGCAGTACCACGCTTATGGCCACCACAGCCTTAACCTGCTGGGCTCAGGCGATCCTTCTGCCTTAGCCTTCCAAGTAGCTGGAATTATAGGTGTGCGCCACCACACCCGGCTAATTTTTTTTTTTTTTTGAGTTGGAGTCTCACTCTGTTGCCCAGACTGGAGTGCACAGCCTCGACCTGCTGAGCTCCAGTGATCCTTCCACCTCTGCCTTCCAAGTAGCTGGAACTACAGGCACGTGCTACCACACCCGGCTAATTTTTTGATTTATTGTAGAGATGAGATCTCGCCAAGTTGCCCAGGCAGGTCTCGAACCCGCGGGCTCAGGCAATTCACTCACCTCAGCCTCCCAAGGACGGGATTACAGGCTGAGCCACCAAACCCAGCTTAATTTTTTTTTATTGTTTGTAGAGACATGGTCTAACCAAGTTGCCTGGGCTAGTCTTGAAGCCCAGGACTCAGGCAATCCTCTCGCCTCTGCCTCCCAAAGTGCTGGGATAACAGGCGTAAACCACCACACCTGGCAGAATTGATTTTTTTTTTTGAGTTGGAGTCTCACTCTGTCACCCAGACTGGAGTGCAGTGGCCGCTTCTGGCCACTGCAGCCTTGACCTGCTGGGCTCCAGTGATCCTTCCGCCTCAGCCTTCCGAGTGGCTGGAACTACAGGCGCGTGCTACCACACCTGGCTAATTTTGATTTATTGTAGAGCTGAGGTCTCGCCAAGTTGCCCAGGCGGGTCTCAAACCCGCGGGCTCAGGCAGTTCACTCACAGCCTCCCAAAGGCACGGGATTACAGGCTGAGCCACCAAGCCAGGCTAGAACTGATTTTTTATAGTCCAGTCTCTTCCTCCTTAGCCTGAGCAAAGGAGCAACAGGGCTTTGGGAATTGAGAAACTCTGTGGAATACTATCATACATTTGAACAGACCTTGATAATGTAATGTATGATAAAGGATTCTTTTTGAGTTATGAATTATGTAAACACCTGCGCTCTCTCCCATAATACCTGTCTTTTTTTTTTTTTTTAATTGGAGTCCCATTCTGTCACCCAGGCTGGAGTGCAGTGAGTGAGTGGCACGCTTACAGCCACTCCAGCGTCGACCTGCTGGACTCCAGCGATCCTTCCGCCTCAGCCTTTCAAGTAGCCAGAACTACAGGCACGTGCTATCATGCCTGGCTTATTTATTTATTTATTGTAGAGACAAGGTCTCACCAAGTTGCCCGGGCTGGTCTTGAACATGTGGGCTTAGGCAGTCCACTCACCTTGGCCTCCCAAAGTGCTGGAATTATAGGTGTGAGCCACCGCGCCCAGCTTAATTGATTTTTTATTTGTAGAGACAGGGTCTCATTATGTTGTCCTGGCTAGACTTGAACTCCTGGCCTCTAGTAATCCTCCTGCCTGGGCCTCCCAGAGTGCTGAGATTATAGGCATGAGCCACAGTGCTCTGCCTGATACCTGTCTTTGATATTGACTTGACCACTAAGTAACTCAGGAACACATACGTGGATAGTAATAAGGAGTGCTAGGAGCAACTACAAAATTACTCAGGCCCAGAATAAATTAAATGCTGCCCTGTGCTTTCTGACTAATTCTACTTTCTAGAATCTTCAAGTTGGAAGGGATGTTATCTAGGCCCACCTCTTGTCAGATTGGTTTGCTTCTTTCAGCATCCCCTAAAATATGGCCCTGAAGCTTCACCATAAAGACTTTTTTTATTTTTTTTGAGTTGGAGTCTCACTCTCTGTCGCCCAGACTGGAGTGCAGTGGCCGCTCCCGGTCACCGCAGCCTCGACCTGCTGGGCTTCGGTGATCCTTCCGCCTCAGCCTTCCAAGTAGCTGGAACTACAGGTGCGCGCTACCACGCCCGGCTCATTTTTGACTTATTGTAGAGATGAGGTCTCGCCAAGTTGCCCAGGCAGGACTTGAACCCGCGAGCTCAGGCAGTCCACTCACCTCAGCCTCCCAAAGGCGCGGGATTACAGGCTGAGCCACCGAGCCCGGCTCACCATAAAGACCTTTAATGATGATGGCTTCACCACCTACCAAGGCAGTCCTTTTAGTGATTTTGAATTAATGACAGAAAGTAGTTAGGTATTTATAATCTGCAGTACTTGTTTGGCCATTTTGTGACATACTCTGACTCCAGGAGTAGAAATATAGGCAGTTTGGGTTTAGCAAGCATTTTATTACATTTTATGGCCATAATCTCTGGTCACACTTGTAATTATAATAGCTACTTTAGGTCTATGGTGACATCTAAATTAAAGCATTTGTGCTTAGAATAAAGGGTCACATATGGAGGAAGTGTAAACCATAGTGAGGATGGGAAAAGCCATTTTTGCCCCAGAATGAAGAGAGCAGTAATCCCATTCTGGCTTGTTTACATTTGACTAAATGAAAAAGGCCTGGATTGCTATAGGTCTCTGGGATGTTTTACCATGTGACGTGTGTGGACAAACAGAACTAAGTACTCAGTGGAGAGCTGTTTTCCCTATTGCCAAAGAGTGAATCACTTATGAGGAAGATTCTCAACCACAAGTGCAAGTGTCTGTATTGAGCCAGAAAGACTAGTGAAACAAATACTGATTTTTTTTTTTTTAAGTTGGATTCTCACTCTGTCACCCATGCTGGAGTGCAGGGCACATGCTCACGGCCACCTCAGCCTCGACCTACTGAGCTCAGGCAATCCTTCCACCTTAACCTTCCAAGTTGCTGGAACTACAGGCGCACACCACCATGCCCGGCTAGTTTTTTTATTTATTGTATAGCTGAGGTCTCACCAAGTTGCTCAGCCTGGTCTTGAACCCCTGGACTCAGGCAATCCTCTCACCTCGGCCTCCCAAAGTTCTGTGATTGCAGGCTTGAGCCATCGCACCCAACCTAACTTACTGAATTTTTACACTGTCTGTTCAATACTATGTTAAGTAGTCAGAATTACTCAGGTGACAAAAGACACCCACAGCCTAAATGGGGAGTTAAGCCCAAGAGAGTTATGATTAGCATCATGACATACAGAAGCTGAAATTCTGTAGCACCCACCTTCAGAAATCAGGGAAGTG